GACAACAATAACTGTCTCATGAATACAATCGTAGCGACTGAATTAAGTTGAGTTCAATGCATATTTAAATAATAGTCAAGTCAGAGTCCGTCACAGTCAGCTCTAATCGATCTACTGTACACATCATAAACCTGAAAGGTCAGATTCTTGGGATGTAAACAGTGATCTGTCAGGTCTATACGTCTCTAATTGGCCTTTAAAATGTCACCAGCTGTTGACATCAAATTAAAAATGTACTTGTGGCTGACAGGCCGGTTAAGAGAGCAGAAAACATCTGAATTTAGAAGAACACAGATGTACCTACAAATGCTGCAGGAGATACTGTGTTAATAGAGCTTAATGATTTCACTATTAAACTATTAGAAATATTCAGTTGATTAAAAAAATATATATAAAAATCATGTGAAAAACAAACATATTTAGCATTTGAAGCTTACTAAACCTAAAAAGTCATTTTAAAAACAATGTACCTCACAAAAACTTCTTATTCCAATTTCATGTATATCTAAATATGTTTAGATCTTCACAGTGAAGGGTAACACTTCTGAAATCTCGGCGTAAACAATGAGTGACGTACACGCGCGAGAGATCACTTCCAGCGCTTGCGCAGACCGAAGCGCCCTAACCTTCAGATCACTTGGACGTGGCTGTGGTTACAAGAGGTAAAAAAAAACGTTATAAATACTGTTCGTTTTCTCGCACAAACCGCTCGTTTCGTGTCTTAGGCCATCAATGTGTACTTACATTTACGAGTCATTCAATCATGTTTAATTTGGACTTCTCTGTGCATGCTCTTTGAGGTGGTGACCATAGACCTCCATTATATGACTGACTGACTCGCCACAGTAAACATAATGAATGGTGAGTGTAGAACGCAAAAGCCGAATCACGGACATTTTGGGCGATCTCGAAACACATTTTCGGGCAGACTCATCACGGAGACTCACTAGTTGCCTAGACTTGTTGTTTAACGACTGCGCTCTGTTACCGGTAGGCGTGGCCTTCTAGGGCAGCGAAGCAAGTGCATTCTGGGAGTTGTTGTCTTTCATCCACATAAGCCAAAAATACATTTTCAGGCTTTTCTCAGTCTAGAAAGCTCCAAACTCAAAAATAATTTCACATTTCTTCTACATAAATGACCCATTTTAAATACACATTCATCTTTCCATAGGTGAAGTATCCCTTTAAGTCACTGGCCATTGGCAAGTGTGGCATAAAATTAGTTTTAGGCCCTATCTATACTACCCGTTAAAAATTGATCAAACGAAGGTATCTCAGTAGCCAGGATGTGACACGATTATTGAATTCGGATGTGTCCTTTTATAACCTGCCTTTGGAGGCTGTATTTTTCAGATTTCGGATGCATTAAATCACACTCAAAACACTTTAACAACTATGTGGCAATGCCCTGGCAACCCTCCACAACACCATAGCAACCACATAGCAACAGCTGGAACCACTTAAAGGGAGAATAATATCCATGTCAAGACTGAACGATCAAACACATTTGACGCTCGTGCTGTTAGTGTACATCACTCACCTGTGTTGAGGATCGGATCGGATTACGCACACCTATGGGAGAACAGAAGAGAGGACAGTCAGGGACAGATAAATAAACAGCTTCTAGACATCCATTATGTAATTGACTGGACAATCTGCAGTGCTTTGTTATTACATAAAACACACTGAATGTGATGCAAATATTCTTTAAGCATCTGATGACTGAAACTTAATGTCAGTCGGCTTTGATTGAACATGCAAACACATGATAATGATTGTGAAGTCCACTTCATCTCAGGACAAGGCAAAGTCAGCAAAGAAACGGACTTCTCCGCTGTTATTCAGCAGTCGACAGCGAATGAGGAACATGCACTTTTGACAAAGTAACTCTGCCTTCAACCTGCTTTCCCCACAAGACATGAGTAACTAATGAGTAAACCTCAGAGCAATAATGTAATCCTCTGGAATGGTAACAACAAATATGTTCACTTTTTAAACTGTGGATAAGCTGAACAGTGAACACATTTCATTATTATTATCAGCAACATTTAGACATGTGAAGCGATTAAAGCATTGGGGATATCATATTCGCAAGGCCTTTAAATGAGCTTGAACTAAAAAGATATTAACCTCATTCTCCATTCACAGGTGCTTAGCGGGTTACTTTCACACAAATTACTTTAGTATCACTGATACTAATAGAGCTTTTATTAACATTAAGAATGTATTTTTATATTTTCCAATTTCAGTTTAGTTAAAGTTTTTGAAATTTTGAAATATTTGTCTATATACATTTTTATTAAGTTGTATTCCAGTTTTAATGTTTAGTACATCAAGTTAAACTAAATGCAAATGAGAAATGCTACCATGGAAACAAGCTGAAATAAAACAAGTTTATGTTTTTATATGGCATTTTAGTTCAGTTAACATTTTTTTTTATGGTTTTAATATAATAATAACCCTGTTTCAGATACACCTAGGCCAGAATACAAATCCTAAATCCAAAAATCATGGGCTTCAGGGTAATTTTAGTTCATTATATCAAAATAAAATATATGGAGTGACATAGGAAACTTCATTTGACCCAATTTTATACTCAAAAGAACATATGAAGAGTTCAGATGCAAAAGCCTCTAAGTGCCATTTGAAATTTTCTTCTAGAATGATCATTTTTATCAAGCTTGTATATTTAAGTTCAGTGATTTCACTTAAATGGCAATGGTAGTTACCTATTAATTGTTATTTAAGTGAAATTACTGAACTTAAATATACAAGTTTGATAAAAATCATCATTAAAGAAGAAAATTTCAAATGGCATTTAGAGGCTTTTACATCTGAACTCTTCATATATTGTGTGATATTTAAAAAAAAAAAAAATGTGAATATGAAATTTCACAGGCCCTGAGCCATATATTGTGTTTATAAGCATGCGCATCAGGGAACATACATACATAACTGTAAACAACAGTGACTGAGAGCATTTATTTATGCCTAATTTAAACTTTCTTGTGTTTATTTTAGACTATTAGTTAATTTAGTCCACTGATTGTATCCTACTGGCCTTCTGATAAAGGCCTTCACAATCACATGTGTTCTGTTACATAATCAAAACTAAAACTGAAAAAAAAAAAAAGAAATACAAGGTATTAGGAGCATGACACAATTGCAAAACATGTCACATGCAAATTTGCATTTAAGGTGATCACTCAATATTGTATATTTTGTGATGCAGAACAGTGAGGATAACATGCAAACATTTGAAAGATGTTCCAAAACATATGCACCCAAATGCATGTCAATCAACACCAGTTATATCTATAAATGCACATGCCGATGTATGTAATGGATGCAGAAGAAGATGTTGATTTGTCACCTGATCTGTCTCCGGAATGTAACCGTAACCGCACCGCTCCGTCTTTATAAATCCTCACATCCCCCGGTTCTCCGGTACCAGCAGAGCCACTGGAACCGTCCTTGTCCTCCAAACAAGAGCGACAGCACTGGTAACACACAGCCCACGCCTGCTCCTCGTTGATGGGCTGCTTGTATAGATGTAAAATCTCATCCAGGGACAGCTCATCTTCATCCTCACTGTCCATGATGGGATGCGCATCCTCCTCCTCCTCCTCTATCAGCTTGTGTCCGTCATCTTCTTCATCATCATCTCTCCTGCGGGCCATCGTCTCATCCTTCCCCGCAGAGAGAAGAGAAAGCCGAAGATGATTGCACCTGCGCTCGGTGTGTGTGTGATGCTGTTGCTGCTCACTGCTGTTTCTGCATCACAAGCGCGAAGAAGGCGAACTACGTCAAACGGGGATGACAAAGTAGGCGGGGCTCAAATAATAAGTGTACATTTAAAATAAAAATAAAAAATATGGCACAACTATAAGCATAACCATGAGTACGAATAATACTTGTACAATAATTTACCATTTACCATTAAATAATATTATAATACATAGCTTATACAATATATTGATATAATAAATTAATATATCATAAAAACGTATATATACAAACATATATATTACATTTGAATTAAAAAAAGACTTTCACTGTCTTTATCAAACAAAGTATCCATTTTTCTTGATATATTATTGAAACACAAACGGTCACGTGATATCTATTCCTTTTCTCAGCGCTGGTCAGAATGGACCAGAGTCATTTGGGACCACACAAGGATTTCCTAAATAAATGAATAAAGGTTCAGTTTGATGTCAAGAAACTTACAATTAATAGATTTAAAGAATTATTGACTACGCTTTAGACTACAAAATACCACAAAACGTGCGGATAATTGAATGTGGCTCAATATGCTATACTCTCATGAGCCTTGTAGCGCCCCGTGGCGTGTGGACTAACTGATATGACGTGTGTATATCGAATGGAAATGTTTGATTTTCTTTACATTTTCATACCGTTATAAGAATCAAAAATACATTTCAATAATCCAAATTATATAATAGATTGATGCATGTTCAGATGCAGTTGTTTTAAACGCATTCTGCTGTCTTTGAGGATCACGCATCTCATATGTTATTCATTCATAGATCGAAAACAGAAAATATTTTTTATATGGATGCTTTGAATGACAAGTTTCATGTTAAACTGCAGTCATTTTTTTTTTCTTTTTTTTTCCGGAAAAACTGGCCCGCGTTGGCGTTGTTTTGCCACCAGATGGTGATACGTAAACATTTCTTTACACGCTTTCTCAGCTGAACACTTTACCAGCGCAATCCTCATCTGTTTAAAATGAATATTTCCAAAACTTCAAACTGTCCGTTGAAGAAATATATTTACGGTGTAGTTTGACGGCGTCATCCTCGAAAGATTAATCTTCGTGGCTGCTGTTGCTCGGTAACCCAACCGTTCAGACCGTTAAAACACGATACTTAATTAATATTTATGAGGTAAGTATTTACCCAAGTTTGATTGGCTAATTCACCAACAGAGCCTATTTAATATTCATAATCCAGTCATTCTCGACACTTGAGCTGCTCATGCGCATTGTGTGTTACAGCTTCAAAACAATGGCGGTAGACGGTTTGACCATAACAGAGCAATGGATCAGAGAAAAACTGAACCTTCAACACAGTTGCCTAGGTAAACAAAATTATATAGTTATTTACATTATATAGTCTAATATATAGTCACGACTTGATAAACTAATTTTTAAAATAATTTATTGCAGCGGATGTCCGATCATTGACTCTCCCAGGAACATATGAAGGGAAAATCTTTCATTTAGGAACATCCCTTAAAAACTTTGTCCGTCTGAAAACATTGGACCTTTCACATAATGCACTGGTTACAGTAAAGGTGAAGATCAACATGTATAGATAAATATTTATGTTGTTTACAACATCAACAATTAGTCATTTGCTTTTAATTCGATTTTATAACTTCCATATTTATTAATTAATTAACATGATAATTACATTAATGATTATGGTGTGTGAGTGTGTAAATAAAGTGAATTCTAATTGACTGCAAGAACTTGTTATTAGCAACCACTGACAGTAAATCAAAACTAACAGAAAGGAGAACACTGTGTCATATCTGTCATGCTGATATTTTCAGGGTATTGAACATTTGGAAATGTTGGAGAGACTGAATCTATACTACAACAGACTGGCATCTCTACAGGACGTCTTTTCCCTGCACAAGCTGCAGAATTTGAAGGAACTGGACTTACGACTGAATCCTGTGGTCAAGAGACACCCGCACTACCGTTTGTACCTGGTCCATGCAATGACCAAACTCCGCAAACTCGGTACATCATCTCTGTTCTCTGTGTCGGGCTGACTGGGATCAAGCAAATCAATGTTTTGAAAGTGTAAATGTTGTTGTTCTCTCTGTAATAGATGATTGTCCAGTGCGAGACAGAGAAAGAAGGGCGGCTCTCATGCATTTCTCATCAGAGGCAAATCTAGACACTAATCATAAGAAACATGTCTTAATACAAGACACAACTTCCAGGTATTGCAATGTTGTTATTGTTAAAGGGATAGTTCACTTTGAAATTAATTTTTGGTATGTTTTAGCTTACCTCAAGGGCATCCAAGATGTAGGTGTCTTTGTTTCCACAGTATTTTCAATTTTGATATTTTTAGGTCAATCCGTTCTTGTCTGTCAGTCATATAATGGAGGTCTATGGTCACCACCTCAAAGAGCATGCACAGAGAAGTGCAAATTAAACATGATTTAATGACTCAAAGACACCTACATCTTGGATAGCTAAAACATACCAAAAATTAACTTTAAAGTGAAGTATCCCTTTAAACAAAACAAAAACTAATTAAAAAGTTAGTTTTCAGAGGTCGTTGATAATGCCACTGTTTTGCAGAAGTAGTGAGCTCAGAATAAAAGCAATGCAGAAGGTGGTGAAGACGCTGTCGCTTCTTGACGGGAACGAGGAAGCTGCGCTCAATGATGTTTCTAGCAAGACCTGGAATAGCAAGAGACCTCAAACTCTCTCCGTCCGCTCTGAGAACGAGTGCAGCCCTCATCTGTTACAGGGTACAGTCACCACACTCTATATATCATTTGCTTTACTATCAAATTGCTTTACTGTTGTGTTTAATGCATGAGTGTAAAACTTTACTGTTTGTGTACATATTTCAAATTGGAAACTGTTTTTCTCTTTCTCTCTCTCTTTTTTATTTTTTAGAAAATCCATCTGAATCTGATATCATACATTTAATCAATGATTCTGATTGTAAAAGGTTGCCAAAACAAAATCAGGTGCATCTGCGTCTATTCAATATTATTAGCAATTATTATTTCAGTTATCATATATATATATATATATATATATATATATATGAAAAGTTCAGATGCAAAAGCCTCTAAGTGCCATTTGAAATTTTCTTCTAAAATGGTCATTTTTATCAAGCTTATATATTCAAGTTCTGTAATTTCACTTAAATGACAATTAATAGGTAATCCTCATTGCAATTGAAGTGAAATTACTGAACTTAAATATACAAGCTTGATAAAAATGATCATTCTAGAAGAAAATTTCAAATGGCACTTAGAGGCTTTTGCATCTGAACTCTTCAAATATATATGTGCGTGTGTGTGTGTGTATATTTTAATTTAATTTAATTATTTCATTGTCTGTCATGTAGGAATCTGTTCCCAAGGTCTCGGATTATAAGAATGGTGAATATTTTTTGTTATTCCACCTTTTTTGTACATGATTTGCTGTTTAACCTTTTACTCTAGAGGGGGTTTGACAATGAAACTGAAACACTGGCCAATATAGTGTTGGAGGATTCAAGCCTACATATGTGCATATGTTTATATATTAGGGCTGTGCAAAAATTAATTGCGATTAATCGCATCCAAAATAAAAGTCTGTGTTTACATAATATATTTGTGTGTGCTGTATATTATTATTTTGTATATATAAATACCTATGCATGCATGTATATATTTAAGAATTATTTGCGCTTAAATTCTGTATAAATGCATAATCTATATTATATAAAAATTAATATTTTACATATGAATAACACATTTTCTTAAATATATACATGCATGTGTGTGTATTTATATATACAAAATAATTATATACAGCACACACAAATATATTATGTAAACACAGACTTTTATTTTGGATGCGATTAATCGCAATTAATTTTTGCACAGCCCTATTATATATATATATATATATATATATATATAAATAAACATAGCTGCCCAACTGTGGACAATGTGAAACACGTATCGTTCTCTGATGAGTCCACCTTCATTATCTTTCCCACATCCGTGTGAGTTACGGAGTTACGGAAACCCTACAAAGTCTGAACCCTGGACTGTTTCTGTTGGATCAGTGATGGTTTGAGCTGCAATATCATGACAATCCTGACTGTGTTTGATGGACATGACACTGCCGAGGATGCTCAAACCGTGTATCAGCATGATCATGCACCAACACACACAGCAAGACTTGTGACAGAAGGGTTTGATGAAGATGAATGTGACAGATCTGAATATTATTGAGGTGTTTTGGAGGAGCGAGTCCACCAGCATCATATAGTGACCTGGACACTGTTCTGGAAGAGGAACGGCTCAATATCCCTCTGGTCACTGTGAAGGACTTCTATCTGTCATTCCCAAGATGAATCGAAGCTGTATATTGACGCAAAAGGCAGCCCTACACCATACTAACACATGATTGTGATGTTTCAGTTTCATAGTCCGGCCCCTGTACTCAGTATTGTCAATATTGCTGTTGAATCATCTTTTCTTTTTTTGGAGTTCGTCCTCATAGAGTCACGTTTGTGAGCCCCATCGTGGAGAGCCGTCATTCAGTCAGGAGTCTGACTCGCGCAACAGTTCGAGGAGAACACGTCTTCACACCGCATCCTACAGACATGCGGTCAGCTTCGCAGGGTACATGTCTACAATTAGTTCCAGACCATTCACTTTTAAATGAACACAATAAGCTGTCTAATAAACACAATATTGCATATTATGATTCTTTTTCTCTGTGATTAAAAGTTTTTGTTCCTCTCTTTGGATAAAAGCATCTGCTAAATGTGTAAATGTTAATGTAAATAGAAATAATTGACATTATTTTGTTGCAGAGCATGATTGCACAGCCATTAAATGGCAAAACCAACATCAGGACAGAGCAAATCCAGTCGTTCATCCTCCCAGGTTAACCTACCAGATCCCAGGAACCTCAGATAGAAGCCGCAAACCACAGAAGGTCAGTAACAGTCTCTGTTTCTCTAAGGCTGCAGCTCCTCAAACACAAACACACCTGACTGTTCACGTTTGCATTGATCTGAATCAGGGTGTCTACAGGAAGCCCATGGAGTCGCTCCTCAGCATGATGGAGGAGCTCTGGTCTGGGAAGGAGGAGAGTCAACAAAACAGGACGTTTCTCAGTAAGTGATCCTCTCCATAACAGACCAGTCCGTAAACGATTCCCACTAATCCAGTGCTTTCTGTCGGTGATGTCCAGTGAAGATGGTCCAGATCCTCAGGATGATGGAGCAGGATGTTTCGGAAGGAGAACAGGAGATCCAAACTCTTAAAGAGACGCTCAAAGCCTTGAACGCTCGGAATGAACTACGGGAAAAACAACATGAGTCTGAGACTGAAGAACTGACACTTCAGCTTCAGCAGGCGCAGGAGTCCATCGTAAGATTATTTTAATCAGATCTGCTGCTTTCAATCGTTTTATCTTAAAGGAACACTCCGACTTTTTGGGACTTTAGCCTATTCACCTTACCCCCCAGAGTTAGATAAGTCCATACATACCTTTTTCATCTCCGTGCGTGCTATAAGTCTGTTTGACGCACCCACCGCTAGCCTAGCTTAGCACAAAGACTGGATGTGAATGGTTGCAGCTTTCATACTAATCCAAATGAGTGACAAAATAACGCAAACGTTTTCCTATTTACATGTTGTGGTTTGTATAGTCACAGAGTGTGCAAATATCAAGCCATATGAGACACAGACATCTTTTGACCGTATAAATACTATATTTTCTGAAGGGGAAGCACTGCTACTTGGGCAGAGTGATAACAATCACCTGAGACGCACCGTGACGAGGAGCAGAGTTCGCTTCGCTCAGCGTTGGAATAAAGAGTCAGCAATTACTAACGTTAGATAGAAAAGCAAGGTTTATCATGGGTGTTTGCTTTATTGTATGAGCTGTGACAATAAACAGGGGAGACCAGGTAATACCATGTTTCATTGATTTCCAACCAAAAACGCACCCAGATTTATAAATATCACATGAATAAATAATTATTATTACAGGAATCAATATATTTTAAATGCAATTTATTAGCTGAACCAAATGTATTCAACAGTAAATACATTTCCCTATATAATATACAGTATTGCATTACTATAGGATAGAATAAGGGGAAAGTAATAGCACAAATTGTTTTTGCACAATGAACTCACAGCCTATCGTACCCTTTTGCACGCTCAAGTTCGTTATTTCCATGGTTATTTCAAATTTAGGCTACTAGGCGCGCCGCGCGCAGGGTGCAAGTTCAACGCGGTAGCAACGCGCTCGTTTTTTTTTTCCCAAGCGCGTCCGCACCGCATCAAGATAAAAACATATTCATACCCTAATCATATAATAGTGTCACTAACGTTACATTAGATCTGGCTAAAGGCACTGTTACAGTAGGTCATCTAAAAACATAACGGAACACTTACCTCAGCCGCAGGTGATCCACTTGTCCTGTCTGTGCTATCGATGGGATGGCCGTATCCTTCAGCACATTATGGTCCGTGTGGCAAATTCCATTTTTTCAAAATAGTCGTCCTCATTGAAATGTACCGAGCAAACATAATGTCCCTTGATAATCTTAGGTGTGTTTGGATAAATATCCAGAGTAAGTTAGCCATTTCTTCATCCAGTCAGCGTTTTTAGTTGGAATTCTGTATTACCTCCCCTGTTTACAGTCGCAGCTATTTACAATAGAGCGAAAACCCATGACTCTAAACTACGCTTTTACTATTTATAAATTGCTGACTCTATTACCCAAACACCGAGCGAACTCTCCGCTCCTCACCACGGCGTGTCTCCGGTGATGCGGTTATTACGCCGTCAAAGTAGCAGTGCTTCGCCTTCAGAGAATAGTTCCCAGGTTTTATACGGTTAAAAGATGTCTGTGTCTCATTTGACTTTGTTATTTGTACATTATGTGACTATACAAATCACAACATGTAAATAGGAAAACGTTTGCGTTATTTTGCCACTCATTTGGATTAGTATGAAAGCTGCAACCAGTCACATCGAGTCTTTGTGCTAAGCTAGGCTAGCGGTGGGTGCGTCAAACAGACTTATAGCACGCACGGAGATGAAAAAGGTATGTATGGACTTATCTAACTCTGGGGGGTAAGGTGAATAGGCTAAAGTCCCAAAAAGTCGGAGTGTTCCTTTAAAGGGGTCTGATTGTGCTTTTTCACACTTTCAACCTTCTTTAGTGTGTACCAAAGGTTACATGCATAGTAAAACTAGTTTTATACTTGAGGCCCTTGGTGTTTTTTGTCCTTTTTTTTCCTCTTTGGAAGTAAATTGAGCCAGACCGCAGACTGATCTCATGAAGTAGCGTGTGTATGACACGCCAATTCGTATTTCCATTTTTGGCGTGCTATCAAGACGCATAATCGCTTTTCAGCGTGTTTATGAACGCCGTTGACTTAACGTTATATAAATATATGTCTTACCTCAACCCCGTCCCTAAACCCAACCGTCACTGGGGTTAATGGCATTTATGACTGGACATTTGACGGCGTGTACGGACACGCGGAATGACGCGGACGTTAATGGCGTAGACATACACGCATACACGCAGATAGCTCAAAATGCGTAGAGATAACACGCCACTTGACTCGAAAGTGGCGTGTATGTTTACAAAAGTCATGATGTCATGTTGCAGACCGATATATCGGCCGGCCGATATTAGGCATTTTCCATAATATCGGTATCGGCAGTTAGAAATTGCCGATAAATTAATATTTAAAAAATAAAATAAAAACGGACGAAACACGCTTTAATCATCTCTCCTTGGCCTGCTATATTGAAAATGTATGTTTTACAATTTGCAGTATGATATTATGGCTCATCATAGACTAGCTAACCACAAAGCAAGCTAATGCCACTATCATCAGTGGAAGACCGCTAACGTTAACATTAATGAGCTTGGAAACCGCAATGAACTTTTTCTGCCTAAATAAAGTAATTATTACTGTATTTATAACTAGCATATCTCTAGTTACAGTCCCTGCATTGTGAAATGTAAGTTATACTTGCGAGGAGTGAACATTTAGACATACGTAGAGAAAAAGTATCAAACGTATCTTGTGCAGAAAAGTTAGCTTTTCTTTTACACGTGTGTGAAATCCAACAATATTTCATAAAAAAAATATCGGCCGATATATCGGATTTTAAAACCCAAAAATATTTGTATCGTATCGGCCTTCAAAATCCTTTATCGGTCGGGCTCTAGAAGTAAATAATGAATGTTTCATATTTCTGCAGGCAGGCCTTAATGAGCAGCTGAAGAATGTGTTGGAGGAGAATGTGTCTTTACAGAAACAGCTTATCAAAGTAGAAAAGAAGCGGTTGTCCTCTCACCTCAAGAAAACGCCACACATGGAGAGCAGAGGTTAGCAGCTTAAAAAATGAGAGTTATATAGTGAAATAAAACGGGTTTAGTAATGTTTGTGCTGATGTTTTTTAGGAGTGCAGTCAGTCCCTGAGGAGTTGAAGGAGAAAAGACGTACGAGTCAAGACGGAAACGGAGCGAATGACCCGCATGAGAGCTACAGGTGGGTGTCAAGGTGAACCGAATGCAACACAGCTGTAAAACCCAAAACATTTTGTTCATTTTTTTTCTTTTTGCAGGTCTTTGATAGCCAGAAATGAGCGTTTGCTGCAGCAGTTGGAAGACGCTCTAATGAGCAAATGAAGAAGGCGCTTCCAATAGACATTTGCATTTATAGAGAAAATTTTAATTTATTATAAATCTGTCCTTTGAAAGATGTTGATACCTCTTTTTGTAAAACGCCTTACACAGTCTCAGCATGTTGTCTGTATATTCCTACATCCAAGAATCAATCACTATTCACATCTTACTGTATGTGCAACCAGAGATATATCCAGACCATTCCTTTGAGATTTCATGTGGATGAATGAAATAAACGAGAACCAGGCAGTTTGTTTTTTTATTCAATACGATGCTACAAAACACTTACACGTTAAAAATCATTTTTATCACCATATGACATGCATATCAGGACACTGTAGAACATTAAAAAACATTATTTGAAAAATAAGACAGTATTGTTCCTCAAAATGGATGGTTAACAGTATTTGGCATTAAGCGCACAAAACGTTAAAAACATACGTTAAATACGTCCACATGTATGCTTGTTTGTGGTTTATTAAATACGAGTCATTTCTGAGCAGAACCTGCAGGAGAGCTTGACATTTATGATCCATCGCCACTTTTCTTATCTGAAAATAAATGTTCCGTAGAAGAATACGTCTGTACACTCTCTCTCCATAGACATGGACGATATCATCTATTACAAAGGGTTCCCACAATCACGTAAAATATCGGGGAAATTTAAATCTGTTTTCCAGGTCTGGAAAAGTCGTCATAAAGTCTTAAAAGTTCTTGTTCTTGAAATTGTATATTAAAAATATTTTTTTTTTTTTCCGATTTAGCGAATAAATATTGCTTTTGGATTGAGTAAAACTTGTTCACAAGCCAAAGTGAGGTCCGATTTGTGAGCGAATCATCGTTTGTCTAGTCTCTGAAACGTTAAAATCGAAACGATCATTGTTTTTAAATCCACATCCAGTTTTCACAGAACGACTGGAATGGTCATGGAAAAGTCATTGAAATTTATTGGTCAGAACTAAGTGTGGGAACCCTGAAGGTTGGATCTTGTCCAGTGTGTTCAGATGGCAGTGCGTTTATAAATAATTCAGAACACTAGTTATGGTAAAGGGAATGTATTCATTTAGACTTATGCCATGCCAGCGTTAGTTACAGCATGTCACTTCTCTTGTAAACATTGTTCTGTAGGCAGAAACACTAACAGCAAAGTGCCATGTTAAATATAACAACAGTGCTTTTCAAACTAAAATCCACAGCAAAATACAAAAATTACTTCATTCGCAGGTTGATCTATTGCTGATAAACCGGGCCGGGCAGAATCTGCAAACTTAATCGTGTTTTGGGGTGAAATCTGCATAATGCATTTAAATAGGGTAAAATGTGCTAATTAAAGGACTACTCCGGTGCAAAATGAACCTTTGGTCTAATTACACATTGCTACCTAGTCAACCGTTATCTGAGATTTGTTTTCATGATTGCCGAATGTAAATAGTTTTATCTCTAAAAACAGTTTAGCCTATAGTGCTAGTATAACGCTAGTCTATAGGGCATAGAGTAATGACAAGTAAAAATCGCTTGTTATTACCACTAACAAGGCTCAAAATAGCCCCACAGTAAAACGACAGCATAACAAAGGTCCCTACATTCAAACCGAAGCATTGAGAACTTTGTCAGTGTCCATAGAGTTTAATAAGAAGATATTTTATACACACAGTCAACTTCGCGAATACAGGAAGAAGCCATCTTTGAAAATTAGTCTCTACCAGTCGATCTAAGAACGCCGATCCATGTGCGCTGAAATGTGCAGAATCTCATATGGTCCGTTGTTTTCGGAAGAAACACAAACACGAACCGTTTTCTTCTCTTCAATATGTACACGTAGCCTACTGTTCGCGCTCACATTATCACCTTATTCACATCTCACCGGTGGACATGGATCGGCGTTCTTAGATCGACTGGTAGAGACTAATTTTCAAAGATGGCTTCTTCCTGTATTCGCGAAGTTGACTGTGTGTATAAAATATCTTCTTATTAAACTGTATGGACACTGACAAAGTTCTCAATGCTTCGGTTTGAATGTAGGGACCTTTGTTATGCTGTCGTTTTAGTATGGGGCTATTTTGAGCCTTGTTAGTGGTAATAACAAGCGATTTTTACTTGTCATTACTCTATGCCCTATATACTAGCATTATACTAGCACTATAGGCTAAACTGTTTTTAGAGATAAAACTATTTACATTCGGCAATCATGAAAACAAATCTCAGATAACGGTTGACTAGGTAGCAATGTGCAATTAGACCAAAGGTTCATTTTGCGCCGGAGTTGTCCTTTAAGAGCTTAGAGTAGGCAGAAAGATGATCAGATTAGCCAAAATAATTCATAAAGGAATATCAAACTGTTCTGGTTCATCGCTGCAGGTTCTGTGCAAGTCCGAGTTAAAATCATTAGAAACTTCTATTGTTTTTGGCAAGGAGTTTTGAAAGGACATTACATTAAGCCCTGCTGGTTTGACATTACTCAGTCTGTATTGAGGTATGATAACGTTGGTAAAAGGTATTGTAATGCAGAGCAAATATAGAAAATACTGAACCTTTTGCTGATGGTGTTTCCTTTTACATAATATGGTTAATCATTCCACAATTAAAAACACACAGGTAGTGTTTCATATTATGCCATTATAGAATATGAAATACATAGTTATGCCATTAACTTGTCAAACCTACAAAAACGTCGACCAAACAACTAGATATACAATCTTGAGCACCAGCGGTCAATCCTTTATGTATCAAACAACAATTTATGATGGTTGGACTTTTGCATTCAGTTATAGATCATACATATACATGAAATGCAAACAGAATTACACATTTTAAATCTAGAGGATCTTGGTACGGGTAAGCAGGGAAAACGAAAGTCAGTTTTTAAAGCCACAAATGCATCCAAAGGGGTCACGACATGAGAAATCAAATTAGCCTTGTTTTTTACACAAGTAAAAACATCCAGAAAGTTTCATAGTTTAAATCATCATCCTCATGCTCCAAAACGGCTGGTTTGAATAATCAGGGATCTGTGACATCACACAGGCAAATACATTTGCATATGCCCGCCTCCAGAGCAAGACATCGACGAATATTTACGGAGGCCCCGCCCACTGGCCTTCGGTTGCCTAATGGCTGACATTTGTCTACACTGGATGTGAGTGTCGCGTCAAAAGCAAACAGAAGGCATTATAATCATTGACACTGGATACAGTATACAGATGCGTGTTGAGTTTCGCTAAACAGCTCTTTTGTGACTCGGAAACAAGTGGATGGTTTATTTAAATTATATGCTTTTGTTTTGTCAGCGAGGCGCAGTGTAATGGACAGATGAAGCTACAACTGTACTGGATCTGACAGCAGCTGCATCATAAAGCATAAGTCAATTATTTCATAAAGCTTTTTCCACTGCATGGTACGGTACGGTTCGGCTCGGTTCACTTATGGCGCATTTCGGTACGGTACGGCTCGCTTTAAATGGTACCTGGTCTGTTGAAGTTCCAAGCATACCAAACCGGTACTAAAATGTGACGTGAAACAGTGCAGATCACTGATTGGTCAGACAGAGTCGTCACCAGTGTTGGGTAAGTTACTCTTAAAAAGTAATTAATTACTAGTTACTAATTACCTCTTCAACAGTGTAATTAGATTACTGTACTAATTACTCTCTCTAAAAAGTATTTAATTACTTTTAATTACTAATTACTTTCAAAATCCCATATCAATCTCAACCAGCTGAATAATACAAGGATAGACATGAATCGGTTTTGATTCTTTCAAATAAATACTATAAAATTGCATGAATTATCCTTAAACAGACCAAAGTGGAGAAGGTTACATTATAAAAACATACTTTTTAGCATCAGACAATACATTTTGATGTTAAACCCACTATTGTTTATGTCTGATCTCATGACATTTCACACCTTTTTCATACATATTTTACAATAATTCATACGAATTTGTACGAGTGCCGTCGTAATATTCAGACACCTCATAAAATGCATACGAATCGCTGTGAGATCGGATTGATCTATACACCTCAATTACATCAGAAGTAACTGTAATTAAATTACAGATAAATGAAGAGTAATCCCTTACTTTACATTTTCAAGGGAAAAGTAATTAAATTACAGTAACACCCAACACTGGTCGTCACTACCAGCGTCATTGTATTTGCGACACGAGAAACCAAACCCGCTAGATTTAAAGGAGCTGTATGCAAGAAATTTATTTCAATTAATCATACATTTTCCCTGATATGTCACTAGACATTAAGAAATCATGTTCATTTAAAATACTTGTATCACTGACAATAGTAGTCCGGCCAGGATATTGTCATTTAAAAAGTGAAGTCGATTCGCAGGCCTTGACTGATGTTGATGATGTCATGTTGTGTTTTGTTCTGATGCGTCACCCTCCACCGATCTACCAATCATGGACTCAGTAGTGTTGTGGCATTCGGGTTGCCAGCTCTTATCTAGTTACCACAGCTGCAGATACAAACGGGTTGGAATCGGATACGTATTTTAACATTGCGAAACCCCAAAAAACTCGATTTGAATCCAAAATACTTTGTTACAAAGTCCGAAATAAATAATTAACAGAAAAAAACTCGTCATTTGCAATTGGAAGCTTCTTGTAACAACCTAAATTCCTGCTGGATCCTGCAGCATATCTGGCAACCTCGAGTCATGGGGGAAGGCGGGGATACACCCTAATTTGAAAGTGATTGCAGTACCAGTTTTGGCCACAATCCTGCATACGGCTCCTTTAAATAGCCAGTTACAGCCACCGCTGTAGCGACTGCTTTTAAACTAATCACACCCACTTTGAGATGGTACTAACTGCAGTGGAAAAGCAACCGAGCCAAAGCAAACCGAGCTGTGCCGTATCGAGCCGAGTCGTACCACGCAGTGGTACCGTGCCACAATAGCAAGTGGGCGTTGATACCGTTTCCTATGCAATGACTTTAACCAATTATAAGGCGTTTACTGACAAGTCTTAAAGGAGCCGCGCCTTAAAAATTTCAGACAGAGGGTCAGAATGAAGGTTGAAAAAAATTGTTTTTGAGCAAAAAACTAACATTTTAAATGAACCTCAAGGAACATATTAAAATCCATGTCAAGACCCCTTGTTTTTTTTCCTAACTTAGGCCTGAAACATACTTTACAAGCATGCTGCTAGCAACGTCATGAGTTTGATTTCCAGGGTAACGGACCAAAGCCAAATGCATTAAAATATAAGTGGAAAATATAAAATACGTGATCACACTTCTAGTTTTGCAAGCTCAGTTTTGTGTGCTATTATAATGCAAATTGTTTAATGGCACAAACATGGAAACTTTCGTTGCATTGCCAAGCGTTTGCATGTAACTTCTATTTCAGGCCTGACTCTATTACATCATAAGAGAAGCCACAAATCCCAAATATTCATATATGCATTTAATGTCAATATTTACGACGGATTATCTGCAAAAAACACTAATACAGCGTGCAATATTGTCTTTCTCTTGGCATCATCGTGTTTGTTAGGAACGTACCGGCTGGTGACGTCAGTGTTTGGATGTAAACAGCGTTCCAGTTAAAAGTAATAAAACACTTAAAGGAAGAGGAACATAAACTCAATGTTATTCACAGAAAAAAGGACATACCCCCTTTGTGCTTTAGAGTTGGGTTTCGCGTTCACTGCTGGATGGGGAATCTCACATGGGTTTTTGTGGAGGTTTTTGAATCTTCTTCTCGTATGACCCTGCGTGCTTGTATCCAGCGACGTATCCGGATGTGTCCACCACTTCTACGCGTCCCGCCTTCCCCTTCCCGCGACCCGTCTCGTCGAAGCGCTCCTTGTGCGATCCGGTGAACTTGGTGGTGTCAGTCAAACGGGACACGGTCGGAGAAGCCACGGCTCTCTGTGTCGAGAAAGAGAAAGAAACTTTGAAAAGGAATAGTTCTCCCAAATATCACTAAATCAGTCTTCATTTAGTCGTCTCATTATTTTCTGGGAGTATTATACCAATAAAGCGCCATCATTTCTGACATTTAAAACAATGGATCTGGAAGAACAAGATTACATTGTGAAAATGTATAGATGTATTTAAAAGTTTGCTTTAAGATTTGTAATTTTTTTAAAGAAGCCTGTTCTGCTCACCAAAGCTGCATTTATTTGATTACAAAAAATACAGTAAAAACAGTAATATTGTGAAATATTATTACATTTTAAAATAACTGTTTTCGATGTGAATATATTGTAAAATGTAATTTATTCCTGTGATCAAAGCTGAATTTTCAGCATCGTTCCTCCAGTCTTCAATGTCACATGATCCTTCAGAAATCACTCTAATATGATGATTTGCTGTTCAAGAAACATTTCTGATTATTATCAGTGTTGAAAACAGTTCTGATACTGAACTGGGGAAACCCTGACACATTTATTTATAAAAATATAAATACATATATATATATATACCTGATACAAGATTCTTTGATAAATAGAAAGTTCAAAAGAACAGCATTTATTTGAAACGGAAATCTTTTGTCACATTATAAATGTCTTTACTGTCACTTTAGATCAATTTAATGCATCCAATAAAAGTATTAATTTAATTGAAAGATAACTCATAAAATCACCACTATTATTACATTTATAAATCAGTTTAGCTGTTTAACTGTAAACACTATTATTAACATACAGTACATTTAAAATAAATGATTAAAGAAATGAGTAGATTTCATCCATATACAACAGCAAGGATTCCCAAACGAACCCCTTTAACCTTAAATTTTCCCTTTGAGATTTTAATTAAATATTTTATCAATTTAACAACTCCATAAAACCCCAGTTTGAGAAAAACAGGATACTATTATATACAAGTGAGGAATACACCAATTAAAGGAGTAGTTCACTTTAAAAAATTTTTTTTTATCAGATTTTTTGCTGATAATTTACTCACCCCCATGTCATCCGAGATGTCCATGTCTTTCTTTCTTCAGTCGAAAAGAAATGAAGGTTTTTGAGAAAAACATTCCAGGATTTTTCTCCATATAATGGACTTCAATGGGAACCAAACGGTTCAAGGTCCAAATGAGAGTTTCAGTGCAGCTTCAAAGGGCTTTAAACGGGTCATGAACTGGCTTTTTAAATTTTTTTACATTGTTGTCTGAGGTCAACTTATGACGTTCGCTTGGTTTTTACATTACAAAACATCAAAATGAGTAAGTAATAAGCTATTTTCTACCCTAGTTTTGAGCCCAGCTGAAAAACGCTCAGTTTTTATGGGCGTCTCGCATTGAAGACTTTGAAGTAAACGCCCACTGCTGTGAGTAGATAACAGTTTTGCATATTATTATTAGTTTCACTCTCGATCCGGTTTGTCATCACGAGGTTATTTAGCTATGCGTGTAATCGGTGGGCGGGGCTAAACCGGCCGCATTGATCTTCTTCTGCGGGGGTGGGGTTTTATCCTCTTTGTCGTCATAGTTCCCCACTTTGAAAAACGAGTCGTTTGCTTAGCCTGGTGTCAATAAAAGCTTTTATTGGACTAACTAGGACGTTTTCAGTTCTGAAACTTACAGGATATTCTTATAATATGATGACCCCTTAGATGTCAAAAGCTCAAGGAAAATTTGATTTCTCAGTTCATCACCCCTTTAAACGACACCAGACGATGAATAAGGGTCTTATCTAGCGAAACGATCGGTCATTTCAGAAATAAATAAAAAAATTTAAGTTTTATAAGCACAAACAGTAGCGGTTCTAGGCACGGGCGAACCGGGCAGTCGCCCGGGGCGGCATTTCTTCATGTCACATGGGGGGGCGGCACGAGCAGTTAAAAAAATACTCTGTGCCGCGAAGTTTTTCTATTTTTTATCATTTCGATTAAATTATTGGCAATGGCGCCCTGCTTGCTGAGAAGGTGCCGTGCGCAGAAGCGATGTCAAGGGGATCTCCTGATTAGTTCACGTATCGCGTCTTTTGCGCGCTCGAGGTCGTTATTTCAAATCCTCTATGTTTCAAATAGGCGCACGGGAAGCGCGCTCATTATGCGCTCACAGGACGCGCGCTCATAAACTTTTCAGTATGGGAGTGCACGTGCACCCAAACACTTGGGTGTTTTTTTCTGTTCTCCGTAAATACTTCTTTTAGCAGAGCTTCAGCAAGCGTTTTTCTGTGGTGGAAATACATTAGCTACTAAAACTTCTTTGTCGTTGGAGAGCGCAGTGTAATGAGTGCATGGTTCTAAAGCAACAACAGCCATGAGAAAATTGGTACGAATTTTACTATTAATAATAAAAGATAAGCTACTGTGCATTATAAATGTCAGGAATGTATCTTTATTGGCTCATTCTTTTTATAGTGAGGATTTAAATGCTGAAATATGAGGTTTATCTTTATATAAAACCTTTTTTTAAGTTTAGTAAGTAAGATGAAAGGCACTCCTTTAAAACAAACCTTTAATATTATTAACTTGGTGAATTAGATTTCACTGTGTATTAGGCATTTTGAACAAGATTCTGTGTGATAATTTTGGTCACCATATTATCTAATACTTTAATGATCAACTAAAATTATCTTTAATTATGAGTTTTTTACAGTAGCCTATAATTTGCAACGTTTTTTTTTTTTTTGAGGGGGGCGCTCGAAGGGGGTCTCGCCCTGGGTGTAATTGAAGGTAGAACCGCCACTGAGCACAAATGCTCGCCTTGCTCTGTTCTGTGATGCGTGTTCGTGACTCTCCTGTTCGGACTCGTTTTTCGAGTCATTTGGTTCATTCAACGAACGAAATGAACGAAATTACCATTTTGATAAATGAGTCGTTTCACTATACTAGATAAGACCCTTATTCATCGTCTGGTGTCGTTTAAAGCCCTTTGAAGCTGCACTGAAACTTTCATTTGGACCCCATTGAAGTCCATTATATGGAGAAAATCCTGGAATGTTTTCATCAAAAACCTTCATTTCTTTTCGACTGAAGAAAGAAAGACATGGACATCTTGGATGACATGGGGGTGAGTAAATTACCAGCAAATTTTTTTTTAAAAGTTAACTACTCCTTTAAAGAGGCAATGAACACGAGACGTGCTAGTAAGTTTCCGAATATAAATGTGTATTGATTTGGAGAAAGAACAGCACTTTAGCTCTGGGCTTTACCGTGACTCCAGATATAACGGGTGATTTTCCTTCTATCAGTTTGTAAAGCTCTTCCGCGGCGTCCTCGCTGCTCTTATCTTTGAAGCGTTTCCTGGCCAGCTCCGCCAGCGCTTCTTTGAACTGGCTGTATGTAATAGTGCGGCCAGATTTGTTCCTAGAAAACAATTACATAAAGCAAAGACAAATAGATGATAAATTCATCAGTATATATTGTGGCATCAAATATAAACACATAGCGAGGCACAAACCTCCAAGACCTGATTAAAAGAGCTTCTGTAAACACACGAGGATTGCTTTAGATCTGATTGGCCGGTCTGTCTGAGAGTGACACATGCAAATGAAAATATAAGGTCCCGAACCTCTTCTGCTTAACGTCAGAATAATACATCTTGAGGGCGAGTAAATGGATGAAATATGCATTTGAGTTTGCGTGGTAACTGCCTCGATAAAGGCCTCTGAAAGCGCGGCATGCTCTCCGTCTGAACAGACGCAGTGTAAACAGCCGTGTGCGATAACACAAACATGTCAGGGCTCCAGCGTTTGGGTCATTACACACGGCCAGCAGACTCAAATTCACTTTTAATCAACTTTTAAAGAGGATGGGATGCTTCTCATTTCTTATTTCTTGCTGTCAAGGGCCAAGCGTCCAATCAAACTCGACGGTCTTTCATTTACGTCTGTATGATAAACAGTTTTGGTTAGCAGAAATAATTGATTTGTCTGCGCTTAAAGCAGGATTTACATTTTGACTCTATAAAGCAACCGTGTTTAATTCCACTGTGGCGCTTCTCGTTTCCACGGTAAAACAGTGCATAGTAACACAAACACAAACAGTTTTACCGTGGTGACCAAGAACCTAAACAAAGCCCCATAAAGCCTGTGGTCTCCCCCAGCAACCTGCTGTCATAGCAACAAGCTTTGGTAAACACGCCTCTTTGGCTTTATAATTAATTTGACTTGGTTTTGTTTGTGCGATCCTTCAGCGCTCCGACTGTTCGCTGCTGCCTAATGTCAGCTAAGAAATTCAGCGCTGTTCCCTCTCTAAACTATGAGTATGCACTGAATGCTTTCATATTTACATAGTCATAAACAGACATATTCAACCCTACATATTGGTCAAAAGGACTTTTAATGTTTTTGAAACAAGTCTCTTCTGCTCACCAGGGTGCAAAAAAACAGTGAAATATTATTACATTGTAGCCCTCAAACCCTTTTCACTTTATAGCCCTTAATCCTGTAATTGTGGACAAATGTGGGCACAGAGGACTCAGGTGTGATCCTAATTTTATTTTATTATAAATGTTATATTTATATAAAGTTTTGTCTTTCCATTTATGGTGTTTTATTTTATTTTGGGGGTATTTTTGAATTTATTTACTTCAAAAAGTACCATATTTTCTATGTCAATTATGCTTATTTTTATGTTTTAGTTTTTTACCTACATTAAAATATCATTCCAATAAGTTCTTAGTGCGAAAAACCTAAAGATGAAGTGACTTTGCTGTCACCTGATGTCTTATTTTGGCTTATTTTAGAATGCTCTAAATTACAGTTTTTCCCATTCATTTCTATGGGTGCCCATTTTTGACCCAAATACAAGATTAAGGAGTTGTTGTTTTTTTCATCCACTTAACATTGTAAAATTGATTAAAAAAAAATGTCTGTGTTCAAGAGGCAAACTTAGGAAAAGTAGCCAAGTCTTGTACCGCTCAGATCAAGGGAAGTATTTTTTTTTTTAAATAAATCAAAACTATTTTGCCCACATTTGTCCAGAATACGGTTTTAGGATTAAAATAACTGTTTTCTATGTGAATATATTGTAAAATGTAAATTTATTCCTTTTGACTAGCTTTTATTTACCATCATTTTAAAGTGACGACCCAAATGAATACATTTTTTTTCATGTGTATTTGTCTATAATGTGGTATTATGTGCTGAACAGGGGAATGCTTTAGTGTTTGCATTGCGTGCTGCTGTTTTAAATGCGGCATGGCTTCATCAAGCATCATTACGATGAATCGGGGCTTTAATCTGTCATGGGCCGCACTGATTAAACAGCAAACATGTGTCTTTACTTCTGTGATGCTGATCGACTCCAGCGTCCCTTTTAAACTCCTTATCTGTGGCCTGAGCCTCTGTACACACACACACATACACATACACTGACTGCACATGCGTTCATGCAATCAAGTTCAAAGATGACAAGAAAAACTTCTCTAATTAAATAAAATGATCAACATATTTAACTGAAATAACTTCCATTTTGCTTGCTTCACAAGACTTGGAATATATATACTGTATTTGTGTATTGTATTTTTTCGAGCTTTACAGATGGTTTATGAAAAAGCGTGAAAATATTTAAAAATAAGAGCATAAAGGTTTGGAATGACGTAAGAGTGAGTAAATGATGACAGAATTTTCATTTTTGCTTGCACTTTTCCTTTAAATGTTAGCGCACAGCGTGCAAGCATTCGTTTCTCGTTCTGAATATTCTTTATTCTCTCTCAGTCGGGGGAAAACAAATCTCTTGATAAAAGGCAGAGAATTTCCTCAATGCATAAATAGTACAAAGATTTGATAAATTCATTCTCCTCCTCGAGCAGTGTTTTCTAAACATCTCAAACTGAACGGATCAGTGTGTCTACGCTGCTCTATATTAAGGGCACATCGTGAAAATCTGTCCCTATTGAAGCAGCGATGACTCTTTCTGTGCTGTAGTCATCAGGGTTATTCGGGATGAGCCATCATGGCCTGTGGCTGTGGGGGATGAGCCTGAGAAACATCAACAAAGCAAGACTCCTCTTCATTGCATATTTCACAAATATGCATGAGCAAAAATGCATGCAATGATTAAAGGAAAATATGTTACTGTTACAGAAGATATCAGTTACACTCCTACACTTTAAAGCCTAATGCACCGATCTAATATTTTGACATATGCATTTTTACTATCCCAGTTTTTAAATGCATTTTGCATTTTTAACTTTCTTTTTCTAATGTTGTTTGAGCATGAAAAATGTCAGTGTCATTGTTTCTTCCCTGACATTGTAGTCTTAGGTTTTCTTCCAGGAACGAACAAACGAACAACTTTTAATCAACTTTTAAAGAGGACGGGATGCTTCTCATATCTTATTTCTTGCTGTCAAGGGCCAAGCGTCCAATCAAACTCGACGGTCTTTCATTTACGTCTGTATGATAAACAGTTTTGGTTAGCAGAAATAATTGATTTGTCTGCGCTTAAAGCAGGATTTACATTTTGACTCTATAAAGCAACCGTGTTTAATTCCACTGTGGCGCTTCTCGTTTCCACGGTAAAACAGTGCATAGTAACACAAACACAAACAGTTTTACCGTGGTGACCAAGAACCTATGCATTTTATGTGAACATGTCATAATATTCCTCATTTAAAGGGCTCATGACATGGATTAAAGTGCCACATGTGCTTCCATCACACTATACCGGAAAATCCAATTGGCTGAAAGCGTAATCGTGACCCTCGTGGGCAATTGATGCACAACATTTTAGCCTGAATATAAGAAAAGCATGTGTAATTCATAGACCATGCAATCCCAGGATACACTGCATCAAACTCAAAGTGAGTGATCCAAGAAGGTAGATGGAAATTAATTGAATATTTCATCAGTATTAAATAAGTATAAGTTCATCTTATTGTGTGTATCAACTCATTAACACTTTTAAGGCACATTCACACCAAGAATGATAACTACAAAGATAACTATTAGCATCCACACCAACGCAAAATAATGCTCTGTTTATAAGAGCATGCAGTTGTTTTATCATCTGCAACTTTAAATGCGCGAGCTCTTTAAAGCAGGATGGAAAAAAAGCTCTTTAAAAGTTAGTTTTTTATATTTTCTGTAATACATTTTATTCAAAAAAAGTGAACTAGGAAGGTTGTGCACTTTACATAATATATTTATAGTTAGCTTACTTATAATAATTGTGTTTTTTTGACTTGAAATGTTTTTTTTCCTTCTATTAAGGTCTATGTAATTATGTCTCAACTTAACAGTACAAAATCCCATTTATGTTAAGTAAAATTCGTACATCCAGAGGGTGGCAATATAGTGCGAGCCATGTGTTCAATCTGCTTAAATATATGTACAATTTAATTTTTTTTTAAAAATTTACGTTGAGACTACTTAAATTGGGTCGGTTAAAATGACTTAATTTCATGATGTTGACGTTACATGAACAAATTATGTTTGTTTAATGTAATCCAGTAATGTGGAACCTGTTGACGAAATAAAATTACTTAACGCCAACATATAATTTTTTTGAGTGTAGTTAACAACCTTGGTGTGAAGGCCTTTGTATAGAAAATTAATGGGACATTTACTTCATTTACAGCTTCACAGTTATCACTGTGAAGCTGCTTTGATACAATCTGTATTGTGAAAAGCGCTATATAAATAAATGTGACTTGACTTGACTTGACTTCCGTAACTCCTAAATGTGTGGAAGTGGTGCAGATTATGGCATACTTGACTTTGGAGAAGACTATATCCACGTCTGTGAGTGTGATGCTCTTGCCATCGATGACGCCGCAGTCTTTACACAGTTTGGACCAGTTCTTGCCGTTCAGTTCTTTCCCGGTGGCTCGCGTGTCTCCGTGAATGGCGAAGCGCCGGAATGACTCCTCCAGCGCAGTGATCTCCACAGGCGTTTTGCAGCCCGCTCCTCCATCGCTCGTGCCGTTGGATGCGGAGGACAGGCGTTTGGTTGCTTGTTCTTTCGAGTGCTCGCTGTGCGGCCTCATGGGCGAACTGTTGGGTACAGGGTGTTTGGCGGTCTGAACTTTAAACTCCTCCATGTTGCTGGTAAAGAACGTGAATTTTAATGGTTAATATTATTGCAATTTAAAATGAGTTTGTGCATCTTTTTTCATAATCAATGACACTTGCTTTGATAGGTTGTATCTAAAGCAAAGACATTTAGACATGATTAAGTGTCTGTAGTGTATATCCATATCACACTGTTCATGTTATGACAACTTTCATGCTGATCAAACTGCATCTATAACCAGTTCAGCACTACCCATCCAAAATCAGTTCAGGCCATCTTGTTTAATCTTCAGCTGAGATTTCAGGAACATTAGAAATGTTTTTTATTTGTTATTTTATTTATTTATAATTCATTTCATTTATTTACTTACTCTGTACACATGAAATGTATTCAAATTCACATAATTTATCAAATATATTATATACATTTTAAAGTCCCCTTGTAGTCAATAATCTTAAAAACTCACCAAAATTACATGTTGTGACCAATTCAATTTGTTTGCACTAATTTCCAGCGTACCATCTTAGATATAATCAAGCGCATGTATTTCCATATAACCAGTGAAATACATACTTTTATTGTGTAGAAGCCTGACATAGCCTAGCATCTCTAGTCTGACCTTTGCCCTCTGCTGCCCCTCCAGCGCTCGGATTCCACGTCAGTGTCGCTCACTTTGACTCGCTCCTCTTGCTTCTTGATGCAGCTGAAATGACAATAGTAGTTTTGAATTGAAAATGAATATTAACTGGTTAAAAGCAAAGAGCAATGCAAAATAGGAATAATAATAATAAATATAGCTGCAAGTAGCAACTAACAGGGTTCAAGTGTTTTAAAACATTAATTAAAGGTTTCACATTAATCATGTGGCACAATTGTCAAAACTGATACCTAAGGATGAAGTGATAAAATTTGACAAAACGTGATTGTAAATGTTATAATAGTGATTTTAACTATATTAGTGCGTATAATGACATTATAGTTAACATTATAACCAGTAGATGGCAGCAGAGGACCACAGAATGAGTGACCACAGAATGAGCTCATGATAAGTATAACAAGTTTGGTGAAAATATCTCATAGCGTTAGAGTAATAGCCATTTTAGTGAAAGTAGCCCTGCATACTTTTGCGTTCCCGTTTTAGCGTCCCTGTCATGAGCGTGAATTACCAATCGAAGTTCTTTAGGCAACTTTTTGCCATGGGGGTCTCTAGATGATGCATGTCATGCCTAGTTCACACTACATGACTTTAAGCCCGATTTGAAAATCGTTGAGCTCGCTGACAGGTCAGGGTGTTATTGCATGCAAATCGCGGGGGATTAGCGGGCGATGAACACTCGCCAATCTATTAGAATGAAAGAGCCAACAACGCATCAAAGACGCTCGCAGACGCCTCGCAGACCCCAGAAAAATATCTAGCATGCTAGATATCCAGAGCTGTCGCACGACTCAACCTCACATGATGTCATGAGCTACAGCCAATCAGAGCAAGGCATAGGTTGAGGTCACCGGGTAAATCTTATTTTTTCTTTTTTTGCATTTTTTCTCATAGCAACTCATCGCGCAAATAGTTTGCAGCACTAGTTTTTGTCTGACATCCATATTCGAGTGTTGTGTTCTTCGTCTTCTTCGCTGGGTATCGGCGCGCGTGCTGTTTCGCGTCATTTCCGGTTCGTTTCATCGCGTGATTTTTCGTGGCAAAGCGTGGTTTGTAGACAAGATAGAATCGTTGGGTGACAGAGTTGTTGTAGTGTAGTGCGTTACCTCCTGTTGCGGATCAGTCACGTACGTTGTGTCGTGTGGTGCACATTTCAGCCCGACGTTTTAAAATCATGTAGTGTGAACTAGGCTTACTGAGTGAATCAGACAAATGGCCTATGAAGAGTTCGGAAAATTCAAAATGGCAGAAAGATTTTATTGGTGTAAATTAAATTAGAGATAAACGTTTTGTCTTGAGCCGAGGATTTCAATGGAAAATACAGTGTTTTTGATCGCTGTAGCGCCCCCTATTGGTGGATTTGCCTGAGTCCATGTATCTGAGAGTAGTGAGCAAGACTACTACAATCTGACCAAGTTGTAAGTCTCTAGGCCTAAAGTTTGGGGTACACAATCAGTTTTATGTCTTCGTGCTTGAACCCCTAATAATATTAGTTATTAATATTGTTAATATTAAATGTTTTATACTATTAAGCTAATTTTGATTTATTCATTTGCTCTGATTCATCTGGTCCTTTGGTTTGAGTCCATCAAGTTCCAAATAGAAAGAGTAAATAAATCAAGTAAAAAGGTTTGAAATTACTAATAATAGGCAGGATTACTAATAATAGGCATTATCTCATGTTTATATAATCTTTTTTTTTAAATTTAATAAAAGGTTTTTAATAAAAAATATAAAAAAAACTTTTAATAAAAAAAAAATTTTTTGTTAAAAAAAACTTTTTATAAACTTTTTTTTAATAATACATAAAAAACATTTTGGTTTCCAACAAAAATAACTACATCATGATACAGTATGATACATCATGATAGAAAACGACAACAGTATCATGATATTAGACTTTAAACACCACTAAATCACAGTAGTTATTCTAGAGCACAGTTTGCTTCAGGTCAAACATTACAAGGATGAGAAAAAGTGTTTCCTTCATGATGTAACGGTCCAGAATTAAACACAAACCCTTCGATATGTTCTCATGGGGCGATGTTTACCATTACACACTCACACTGTTGTGATCACATTAAACTTTCAAACAGCAAGATATCAAAATACAATAAAAATGTATTTTTACAAAAATTTAAATGACTTTGTTTATTGTGTCTTCCTCTATGTGATTTAAATCAAACACAAAGCAAAATATGAGATTATCTACAACATTTACATCAAGAACTCAAGAAAAAAAGTTTGGTTTGGAATTTGCATTTGATTTGAATCATGTGTTAAGAAAGTAAATGATTGAATCAGTGCAGAAACATCTTAACATGATAAAACACTCGAATTCAAAGCAAAAGACTCGCCCCAAAAAAAATAAAACCAACTGTGATTGGTCGCTTTGCACGTCTCTTCCTGTCTAAGTGGGCGGTACTTGTCCATGTGAAGTCTGACTACACATGATTTTGCATCACATGCACCTTAATCACACATTTGTCCAGGTACCAACTTTAAACAGCATTTCTAATTACTAAGGTTGTAATAATAATGAACACAAAGTAATTAATTTTCTCACAGATGCTGAATGCTCACCTCCCAGAAGCTCCCATAGTGCAATGTCATGACACCTCTACAAAGCCAAAGCAGCTCTTTCTCTTCTTTTCTATGTTTTAAACCACTTAGTCAATCTTTATACAACACAGTCTGGACCGGCACTAGCAGTATCTTGTCCCAAACCAGACAGAGAGGTTACGTCACACGGCCGTAACACTGGACGCATGGGCTACAGTAGATGAATCTGTCTTTATGGTCGGACAGAAGAGCTCTGTAGGGCCAAAGTGAACTCCTCGAGTACAGTCAATGTACAAGAGGACCCTCAAAATCCACTTGAAGATGTCCCTATTCAAGAGCGTTGTGTTTTACTTCTCTTTCAACAAAGAAACAAACCTTTATGAATCACTCTCAATCATGTCATTCAGCTCTATGGGCCCTTTGTGCAGTCTAGTGTACTACATACACACGGTTGAGTCAGTGACATCGCCACTATCGCTGGCATTAGCCGGCCAGAGTGACAATAAAAGATAACATTCTTATCTTTCTAGCTGAAAAAAGAGTGACCGAGATAAAAATATCAAAACTAGGAAGAACTTGGGAGTTTAGTTGGTGTTACTGCATTAATTTCAGATCGATTCATTATTTTGACATTGAATATTGTATATTGATATTGTGCTTTTTTTTGTAACCATCAAGTTACAAATAAAGAGAGGAAATAATCAAATTGCATTTGTTAAGAATTGAAATCACTGGATTATCAAAATAGTTTGAAATAATTCCAATATAGGATATATAATTACAATCAAATTGCATGAAGCAATATTATATATATAATATCTAACATATATACAGTATATATCAATTATGTACAATAATTTCATTTTATAATCCAGTGATTTAAATACATTTTTTTATAATTGTATTTGCATATTATAGATTGTATAGTTATAGATTGTGTGTGTGTATATATATATATATTAAAATCTTGTGATATATATATATATATATATATAATATACATATATATATATATATATTAAATATTGTGATATATATATATATATATATATATATATATATATACATATATTAAAATCTTGAGATATATATATATACATATATATATAAAATTGTGTGATATATATATATATATATATATATATATTACATATATAAAATATTGAGATATATATATTAAAATCTTGTGATATCATATATATATATATATATATATATATATATACACACATATTTAAAATCTGAGATATATATATATATATATACACACATATATATTAAAATCTTGTGATATCATATATATATATATATATATATATCAAAATTTTGTGATATACATATATATATATATATATATATATATATACACATAATATATATTAAAGTCTTGTGATATATATAACTGTGATAAAAAATTATGTTATATATAAGAAGAGTCAGTCAAGTCCATATTTCCAATTTGTCATATCAGTCAACAAAACAAAAGTTCCTTTAAATACTCACATGAACACACCCAGTAAATAAAATTTCTGCAATCATTAACATAATGAAACTGACACTGCTAATGATTGAACTGATTATAAGAGATTGTTTAGTTCATCATATTTATTGTATGATGTATGGAAACATAACTATGGAGTTTTGAGTGCAATTTGAATGGTTTTATAATATAACACAGCAATCAAGACAGACATCTGCTGCTGTGTCTAATGCTGGACTGGAGGTAAATCTGTGAACTTCAGAAAAGAACAGAGTATGATGGAGGCGTCAGAGAGGGAGAAATGCTTTTTTTGCATGCGCACACACAGGCCTCAAGAGAATCTGTGATTGGTGGAGCGTATGATGATATGCATTCGCCTTCTGGTCATGCATTGCACAGATGAGAGCTCAGACAATAAACTGACCTATTTCAAACAAAAAAAAACTATTTATATCAGCAAAACATGAACATGTAATTCAATAAATGTCAACAACATAAAAAGACTGACAAGAATGGACTTGTCAGAAGTCACAGAAACAGGATATGATGTAATGCATAAACAGGAAGAGTACACAGATAAATCTAAACCTATATCAGTAGTTAGTTAACACTGGAAAACTGATATCTGTTCACTGAAAAATAATGCAATGACAAATATTGACTGTTTAATGTCTAGAGAGAATGCAAAACCTTGAATGAAATGAAAGTTTCTTTGGATAAAAACGTCTGCCAAATGCATAAATGTAAAGAGCAGACAAACACGTCTCCATGATGTCTTCACAAACGTTCAGAGATGACCCCAGATCACCCTGCTGCCACTGATCGTGTCAACAACGACATCTTTCATTACATCACCCGCCGCCCATTCCTCATTTATATAGACTATTTGTCTATTTGTCTCCAGCATGGCAATTTCCACGTACACTGACTCTGCAACGATGCACTAATGATGCAGACTATGACATGATGTCAGGTGCACAGTCTAACTCTAAGCCATGATTTGAGGCTTCGACTTTTAACGTCTGTTTTAGATGTTGGGGTAATAGTTGGCGTCTAAAGTCAGTGTTTTAAACAACTTAACCTAGAACTGAAAAATCTGGGCCAAACTCTGCGAATGGCTGCGTCCTCTGGTCAGGCGTAGCTAATCTATGAACATATGGACTAAACAACTGGGATGGGAGATGAAATGAAAAACCTCAAGCCTTTTTCGTCATCTGAAACGCACAATCCTCAAATAAATGAATGTTACACAAACATACTTTATATGACATATCGATGGATGGATAGACAGATAGATATGGATGTATGGATGTATGGATAGATAGATAGATAGATAGATAGATAGATAGATAGATAGATAGATAGATAGATAGATAGATAGATAGATAGATAGATAGATAGATAGATAGATAGATAGATAGATAGATAGATAGATAGATGGGTGGTGGATGGATGGATGGATGGATGGATGGATGGATGGATGGATGGATGGATGGATGGACGAACAAACAACAGACGGATAGATAGATAGATAGATAGATAGATAGATAGATAGATAGATAGATAGATAGATAGATAGATGGGTGGGTGGATGGATGGATTAGATGGATGGATAGACAGATAGATATGGATGGATGGATGGACAGACAGACAGACATAGATAGATAGATAGATAGATAGATAGATAGATAGATAGATAGATAGATAGATAGATAGATAGATAGATAGATAGATAGATAGATAGATGGGTGAGTGGATGGATGGATGGATTAGATGGATTGGATGGATGGATAGACAGATAGATATGGACGGACGGACGGACGGACGGACGGACGGACGGACAGACAGACAGACAGACAGACAGACAGACAGACAGACAGACAGACAGACAGACAGACAGACAGACAGATAGATAATGGTGGATGAAATTATAAAGTCAGAACCATAGAGAGAATGATAGACAGAACGAACGATAGACAGACCGACAAAATTATGTTCTTCGTCTCGTTTGATTCTACACTTTTAATCGACACTCATACTCTCCTGGCGTTTATGTAACAGCTCTATACATTTCCAGCATCACACAAGCGTTATATAAACTCACCATGAGCATCATGATGAAACACGTGATCATTGTTATTGTCATGAACACTGTGCATCATCTCATGCATGTAACTGCAGCTCTGCATCCTTACACGCAACAATACTGACGAAAACAAAACAAAACCAGCACACAATTGCGCAACGCAACAAAACAAAAACGAAACCAAATCGAATGGACTTCCGTGACAACGATCAAAAATGAAGCACAAAATGTTCTCGGGTTGTTTTTGAGGTAAAATTATGAGAACATAAACAAGCTCGAGATTAATTGCGTTCAAAATGCGTTTAAATCGGACGGTGTGAGAGAAACGCGCTGCCAGAACGGTCAAAACACAGTCTTACCTGAATGATGTCTCGGTCGTTTTCTTATTTCTGTTAGTGTCTAGCAGAACATGTTTACGTGAGACATCCGCGGGATTGAGAGACGAGACGCGACGCGACGCTTGCTGTCAACCGCGCGTAGTGTGCGCCGCGCTGGAGAGCGCGCTCGAGGACCAGCAGGCGCCGCGCGGTGATTGGCTCGCGCGCTCAATGTGCCCGCGTGAGTGACTGAACATGAAACAAATGAATTAATTAATGAATTACAGACTTTTGCTATGAACTTATCTACCTTTAAATACATTAATAACAACGTAACATTATTTTGTTTTATTATTATTATTTTACATATTTTAGCATGTGTTGGCGTGTCTCCAACTGCTTATGATTTTCAGTTAACTCTGTTACCATCTAAAAAGCGATTAAATTATTCATAAAGTCAGTAGAATGGAAGGTTCACATCCTTGCACGGAAATCCAAATTGACACTGAACATAAACAAATAAATCAAAATGAAGGAAAAGGAAAGCACCGAATGTCTTCAGTAGCTTGGACAGTGTTTTCCCCATAGAGAAGCTGTTTCCGCTCAAAGCAATCAAGATGAAGTGTGTAAATGCAGATGAAATATGCTGGAATGCAGGAAATATGACTAGATAAACTGCATATCAATACAGTATAGTGTCTGTTTCCTGCAACAACGCTTTTCTTCACTGTGGGTTACTGAATAAAGCATAAAATCCATAAAATGTTACACTAAAGGGTTCTTGACCAGCATTACATAATAGTCCGTCTGAATAATATAAGGCAGACTGGGGCTAGTTGTCACATTCTTGTTGCTCCAGTAAATATTTCTTGGTATGTTTATTTTTTTTAAAGTCTAAAATTTCAGGCCCAAATACCTTGTATATTGTTAATTTATTCCTGTGATGCAAAGCTGAATGTTCAGCATCATTACTCCAGTCTTCAGATTCACATGATCCTTCATAAATCATTCTAATATACTGATTGGCTGCTTAATCGTTATTAGCACTCAATTATTAATAATCCTTAATTAATAAATATGTATTAATTCCAAAATTAGTTTGATATTTACACACACAAGTGATGAATTTAAACTTTTAAAACACACACACACACACACATATATATATATATATATATATATATATATATATATATATATATATATATATATAAAATATTATTAAACATGTTTTGCTTCTCTGTATGGATTGTTTAAGTGAAATTCATGTGATTGATTTATTCTGTGATTTATAAATTATTATCTATTTATTTTTTATTCTGGAAATGCAACACACACTGAGCCCAATACAAATTTCCCTAAGGGTGCAAATTAAGTATATTATATTGTATTATCTATGTTGATATTTGCATTAGTTTGTAGGGCAGAATTTGCTTGAATTTCAGCCCGTTTTAAGTAGATACCATAACAAATAACATACAAAAAGAAAAAAGACAACTGAGTGATCTGGTCCTTTGCATGAGAGAAATGTGGAAGACTGTCACTAATGACATCATCACCCAACAGCCCCATCTAGTGCTGCATCAAACACACGCCATCTTGAGAAACATCTTTAGGCATTTATTTTAAAATATAAAAAGAACAAATACAGTGGTGCATTAATTCATCTAATAATAATTACAATCAACATAAATCAAAAAATAAAACCAGCTTTACAATGTAACAAAAAAAAAAATATGTTACAGAAATAGAACAACTTATATTTAATTGTACAATTTTACAAAGGTTGCTGAGTATGGAATATGTTTATGGTGTGAGCAAGTATTATTGTGCTTCTCATTGCTGCGAATCTTGAGACTACGTGCCTCAAACAAAATAGAATATCTTTGAAATATTCATTCTCGCTCGTAATATCACCACGACTTTATTTTCAGACTTGTGTGTGTCTTTACTGAAGTTGCATAAAGTCAGAACAGAGCCAGATGTTTGTGTGTAATATGCATGAGATGGTCAGTGATCTTCAGGATGCGTGTCAGTCATCAGCTGCTGATGCACCGCCGCCGCGTCCATGATGGAGCTTCCCAGCGGGTCTTGTACGATGGGCCGTCCCTCCACAGACTTCTCGTTCTCGTTGCTCCGTCCCGGAGCTTGAGGTTTCTCTATTCCGCTGAGGTTCCAGACCACAGGAAGTGACATCATAGGCTCACCTACCAGCAGGATACAGAAGGACAATCAGGTCAACACTTATCACTCGATAGCTTAAATCACCCTAGCTTTTTACCTGGAAGCATTTGTGTAGGTGCGTCAGAGCAGTAGTCCAGGTGTCTCTCTTCACTGACTTTCTCCATCTGTAATGACATTATGCTCCAATAATAACAAATATCGGGGTAAAATAGTCTATTTTTTGGCACTGGTTGTATTATATGAAACAATTTTCTCATTTAGTCTGACATTTATTTCTTCTCAATGCATCATGGGATTGCCTTCTCCAGAAAAAGATCAATTCAATGCAGTGTCATTTTAGGATTAATCAATTCAGTTCATTTCTATAGCAGCTTTACAGAAAATGCATGTTTCAAATATTACAATCAATAACTTGATTTATAAATTATAATAAAACAATGCATTGGATGTATCTTATTCATATTTTTAATTAGCTTTTATTATCCAAATTTATTTTAATTTTAATTTATAGTAATTTTGTTGTCCTTTTGTCATTTTTGTAAGTTTTTTAAATATTTCTATTTAGTTTTTTTGTATAAACTTTTAGTTAGTTGTCAAGCAAGTTTTTTAAATATTTTTTTTCCATCTAGTATTTATATTTTATTTTATTTCAGATTTATTTCAATTACTGAAAATGATTTGGTGTTTTAGTTACTAATAACAAAACTGATGCAATGCTAATTTGATGCTGCATAATTTTCGCAACAGTCGTTGCATCTAAGATGCCTTAAAATCCTGTCTAGATAGACAGCTCACTAGGATTCGGAGTGATTACCTCAGCACAGATGGGTTCTGGCAGTCGACTAGATGTTTGTCCTCTGTCTTCCAGTTTGAAGGTACTAAGAAGAAAAAGTAGCAGAACGCCTAAGAAAAAAAAACGAACCACTCACTATTAGTTTAAGTGCGCACTTGAAGCTTACCAAGACTTGCTGGACAGCGGAGCTTCACAGTTCACAGGTGATCCCAGCAGCCCAAGACCCTTGGAGGAAGTGAAAAGTGCATAGTGTTTATGGGTGGGACCTTCCTCTGATCGAAATCAAAGCATAAAACTAGTCTAAAGCTTCCCCTCTAATCCCATGAGATGATACAGTTACACATCCTCAAATTCTCTCTCCTGGACTGAAAAAAATATGTCCATGAAATTGTGTTTTGCATTAGACCCTTTTTCAAAGTCTTGTTTTTGGACTTTACTAGAGTCGATTTTTATGCTGGAATGTTCAATAAACACATTATTTTTCACATATTCCCCATTGTTGCAGGTCCTCTCTTCCCAGTCTGTCAGTAACGCTCTGTTTAGTTCCTGTCTCAATGAAGCCCCTCCTTCTGAAAAGCAAAATGTGCTCTGATTGGTCGGCTGGGCCAGTGCGTTGTGATTGGTCAACCACTTTGAGCGTGTTTGGGAAATGTCCCTGCCCTTACCATAACTACAAGTTCCAACACAATAGAGTGGTCAGGTGAGGTATGACGTCACTTTTTAGGCCAATCGGCAGTTAGCATCACACCGGACAAAAACCCAATTGAATTTTTCCATGGGCTTTTGGATTATTGCAACTTTGTGATCAAAATACGTTTATGATACTTGCATGTTTTATCCATCAAGATATTTGTCACAGATGAACACAACTTTCATGAATTTTGAATGCAGTCTCCAGTAGCCTATAAACAAACTACACCACCATCCCAAGACTTCAACATCACCATCACTAAGCTTCCGACAACCCTTCCAGTTTTTATCTAAAACATTTTTCCCGAACGTTTAAGTTAGTGTAGTTTATAGGAGCACCATTATAAGCATAATGAGGCTTTAAAAGTGGACTGAGTTTACCAGTTACAGTTAATCTCGACAGCCTCTGTAGTCCCATTTAGCCGCTTGTTATCCCAACTCTACAGACCATTTTGCAAGATGTAAACAAAACTGGTCCAGAAACACTAACACTGATATAGAGAATAACTCTTCCTAGAGGGACTTTTTCATGATCAAACAGCAACAAGTGTATCCCTATGCAGAGGAATTATTTAGTATTGTGTTGTATTTTTATTTTATATCTGTGGCGTGTGTTGGTACCAGTGCAGTGGTTCCGTTAGACGGCAGCGCCGGAGGAACCTGCTCTTTCTCTTTGGGGTTCGGTGACGGTGACTGACGCTTCCTAATGATGTACTCATATGTGCTGATTCCCTGAAACACTGTGACAAGATACACAATGAATAAAAGCTGCTATCTACCTTTAAAAGTCAATAACGCTTGGATCAACACTTACACAAGTAAATATGGAAGCACAGTAAGTGGCAGAGCAATAAGAGAGCAGCCAGAGCCAGCAGGATGGTAACGAACGCCAACGCCAGCAGACTAATAGAGCTGGCCTCTACAGGTGCCGCCGGGAGGAAAACCAGCCACGTTCCATTCCCGTTCACTGCTAGGAAATATAAAAATTAATTTTTAGAAATAATTTTTTTGAATTTTTTGAAATTTAAACTAGTAAATGAGACGTTACGCCACCATTCAAAAGTTTGGGGTCAGTAAGATTTTTTTAAATGGTTTTGAAAGAAGTCTCTTATGCTCAACAAAGCTACATTTGTTTAATTAAAAGTACTGTGAAATATTATTGCAATTTAAAATAACACTTTGTGAATATATTTAAAAATGTAATTTTAAAACATGATAAACTGCATTTTAAAACAAACAAAAATTAAAATGAAACGTTGCTATTGTAAACTAAAACTATGAAAAAACATTATTTTGTTAATTGAAATAAAGCTCAAATAAATGTTAGATGAAAAATTTAAACTTAAATGTTAAAAAAAGCTAATTATTACTACACTAACTACTAATAAATTAGATTTTTTTGCCGTTGCAAAAAATAGAAATATAGAAATAGAAATATAATGTTTAAAAACTAATGTTTTTGTTTTTTATATTTCTATTGTGAAAAGAGCACATAACAAAATTACTAAAATGAATATTTAAAATATATATATAAAAATACTACAATAGAATATACAAATTCTGATACTGCAGTAAGTGTAGTTTATTTTATCTTATATATTACATTATATTATTAGTGCTGTCAAATCGACTAATTGCATCTAACATAAAAAATGTTAACATAATATGTATATATATATCTGTGATCAAGTCTTGATCCACATGATCCTTTAGAAATCATTATAATATGCCGATTTGCTGCTCAAGAAACATTTTTGATTATTATCAATGTTAAAAACAATTGTGCTGCTTAAAGTTTTGTGTGGAAACCTTGATTTTGTTTTTCAAGATTCTGATCTGAATAGAAAGTTCAAAAGCAGCATTTATTTGAAATATATATTTTTTGTAACATAAATGTCTTTACAGTCACTTTAATCAATTTAATGAATAAAAGTATTGATTTCTTTCAAAAAAAAGTACAATACTGTACATCTTCAAATTCATTCCATTCAATGCACTGCTGTTATAAACATTAAAGTTTAAAAATTAAATTAAAATTAAATACAATTATCAACTAGTTGGTCGACTAGTCAACCTGTCAACCGTACCGATCCAGAAGCATACATTAACTATTCTTTGAACTAAGGAAAATAAGGGAAATTCACATGATGACCCATGCAGACGAACAACAGGAAATGAGTCCAGAGACACGGACTAGTCTTACTCTGAAACTGTGGTGCAGTGCGTAGGACAGCAGGATTCACATAGTGCTCAATGAAGACAAACAAGACGACAAGAATGAGGAGGATCATTCCAGTAACAGCAGAGGAGATGGTTATGAAAAAGAACCTGGGAAAAAAATGATTCCTATGAATGTTCATCTATTGTGAAATGTCTTTAAATAAATAAATATGCAAATGCTTGTTCTCCATTTGTGCTATCAAATGACATTTCTGCTCACCAGTAGTTCCTTCCACCGACGCAATTGTTCAGCCATTTGCAGTGATGGTCAAAGTCTGCGATGCATTTGTTGCAAGTACTGCAGTGTTTGGCTTTAGGTCCCCTGCAGAATGAGACGTGATTATTCCCTAAAGCAAACGGTTAGGATGTTTAGACATTTCTATATCAGGACTGTGTGCCATTCAGAAATGAACTGAGAATTTCAACTTCAAATCCTAAATTTGAATTGAGGTGAAAACAGGATGATAAACTGCATTTTAAAACAAACAAAAATTCAAATGAAACGTTGCTATTGCAAACTAAAACTATGAAAAATAATATTTCATTAAAGGTGCATTGCTCAAGTTTATTTATTTTACTGTACAGGATTATAGAGGCAATCGCAGTGATCAGAGAAGAGCTCATTCAGCCAATCAGGCAATTGTTTACGCATGTATGGGTTAGAAAAATGGGTATTTTTAACATGAAATGTTGCGCAATGCACCTTTAATTGAAATAAAGCTCAAATAAAATATAAACGTTAGATGAAAAACTTAAATGTTAAAAAAGCTAATTATTACTACACTAACTACTAATAAATTAGAAATGTTGTCTTTGCAAAAAAAAAAAAAACAACTTAAATAAGTTTGTACTAAAATGACTAAAACTTAAAAGCTAATTTTTTTTTAAAAATTTAAAGCTAAATAGAAATTTAAAAAAAAACTAATAAAAGTGAAAAGAGCACATAACAAAATTACTAAACCTTAAACTACAATAAAAAAACTTAAAAAATACTACAATAGTATATACAAATTCTGATACTGCAGTAAGTGTAGTTTATTTTATCTTATATATTATATTATTAGTGCTGTCAAACCGACTAATTGCATCTAAGATAAAAAAAAATGTTGTGTATATATATATAATTATATTTATATTTATATATCTGTGTGTATTTACTGTTTACACACACACACACACACACACACACACATTCATAAAAAAGTAAATGTAAATGTAGTGGAAATCTCACTAACCAATACATAAAATTCCTCTTCTTGTTTTTAAATTCCCACTCATGAATTAAAAGGTGAATTCTACATTTCTAAATTTTGCCCAACTCTAAATACTAGCAAATATTCCCTTTAAAACGTCTTGTTTCTGCTAATGTACGTACACATCGACCTCACAGAGGGTGCAGTGCAGATTGTCAATCACATGTAGATGTTTGCTGTTGTCAAACACTGGCATGGGGTTGGAATAATCCTTCCTCCTACGAACGCTCAGATCCGCAGGGTCAATTGTTACGGCCGCCACGTGAGTGACCAAATGCAGAACAAACGCAGTGCCAATCATCTAGATGGGAAGTGTGAAGGTTCAACAACAATACAAAGATATGCACGCATAGATTTAGTTTCAGAAACGGCTATGGGTTCATTTAACTCACTGGATGACAGCCTGTCTCACTACATCCTCCAATTATCTGCATAAACACACACTGCTGACATCAGCCTGTAATTGAGCTCATGCTGCGCAACAGAACATCTGCCCTCGGAGATGCTTGTGTGCTGCTGTCCAGTTTGTTCGTTAGACTGATTCAAGGAGTCTTTTTGAATATGAATATGTATTGAAAGTGGGTCATATATAGCGGCGCATGGGTTCCCTCGATCGAAAAGCTATGCATTTTCCCCATAGACTTTTGGAAAATCACAAAAAATTAGATCTGTGTTCAACAAAGAGTTGTGACCCTTACACGTTTTGTCTATCAAGATAATCTTTACAAGTTAATCCAAAATGTATACATTTTGAAGCCTATATAGTTTTTTTAAAAACACAAGCAGACACAATAAATTTTAAAAAACCACAGGTTATAACTGTGTGTTTTATGTCATGGATCAAAACGTGAAAATATTTCGAGGCTTTGTTCACCACAGACCTTATTTCAGGCGATTTAGCAAAAACCCATTCAAAAAAGCCGCGAGGGAAGCGGAGTGCTAAAATGCTAACTCACTTACGCGTTTTGGCCTCCAGAGTGACGTCGTAACTTCGGCACTCTATAGTATGACTGGATTTCTAACAATGGAAAGCTTAATGCAAATGGGTGGAATGTCCCTTTAAAATGAATCAATTGTTAATGAACTGGACAAACTGGTTGTATGTTGGGGTTTGATTGCAATGCGATAGAAAGATGCATTGTTTAGGTGCTGCTTTACAATAAGGTCCCATTAGTTAAAGGGTTAATTCAGACATTCAGAGGTCATAGGGGTCAGAGGTCACTCTTCAGCAAGAACTATGGATATTTTTCTCACAAAAACGCATGACTTTGCTTAAGAAGGATGTCGTATGGATTACATTTATGATAGATGGATGTACTTTTTTGGGCTTCAAAATCTCAGGTCTCATTCACTCCCATTATCGCTTGTGTTTGGCTCAGGAAGAAGGTCATATACACCGACCTAATCACTACCATGAAACCTTTCTATTTTATTTTTGAATTTGTAAAGGATACGCCGTATGCTGCAAAGCTCCATGGTGCAGGTAGAAGAGGAACATAAATCCCGAAACCCACGACGGCCATGAAGCTGTACATCAGCCAGGCTATCAGCTGGAAACTGTGCAGAGGCGGTGACCATCCGTTGACCCTGGAGTGCATCGGTAGTCCCACCAATTCAATTCTGCTTCCTCCATTTTGGGGTGCCGTCTGTCTACGGTGACGCCCAAAGCAGTTCAGCTGCAAAAGACAGAAACAGCGAATATGGGAATAATATGAAAAAACAGAACTGTTCTATAATGTATGCATGAAAGGCTAGTAAAGCACTGTGCTTCGAGAACAGTCTCTTCAACCAGCATAAACAATGAAACATTTTAAAAAGACTTTGCCTGACATCATTATATTGGCTTGACAAAGCTGTTACTGTACAGGACTGACCTTGAGTTACTCTAAAACCCAACCTGAGACCAAAATGTCTTAATGCAACTCATAGAGCCTTCTGCCTGTTATGTCTGTCTATCTGTCTATCTATCTATCTATCTATCTATCTATCTATCTCAGATTTTTTTATATTCCAGTTCTCGCTTCAATCTTCAACAATTTTACCACAGCTAAATCATTTAGACAAACCAGAAACCTACACATCAGTGTTATTGCTAACTTTCACCTTCACATGCACGAGTTAGCAATGACAAGGAGTCCTGCTGTGCTTTTCCTGTTGAACATGGACAGAAATATTGTGTTGCCTAGCAAACGTCATCATAAAGACAATGTGTGTTTGAAAACAGTGAAATAATGAGTAACTTCCACTTCAACAAGGAACTCTTGTATTAAGAATAACAATGTAAAACATTAACTTTTCAAACAGAATGAATGTTGTCTCTTTATTTAACTTTTTAATGACACTACAGTGGCGAATAATTCATATTAAATTATTTTAACAGCTTAACCACAACAAGCGATAGGCTACATTTCCATATGTTTCAAAGCCTAACGTTACTTACATTCGTCATTGAACAGCTTCCAGCGGTTTCCTCTGCTGATGTTGATCATTTGGATCTCTTGGATACAGTTTGCTGATCCATTGATTTCTTAATGATTTTCTTCACAGTCCACTGTACAGCAGAAGAGTCACTATCTAACGTTATCCGGTTAGAAAACGTTTTTATTCCTATATTTAACCAATCAAATCTTTATAATGTCAAGAAATTCGTCAAGAAAAATGATAAGCAATATTCTCACGCGTGAGGCGGTGCTCATCTGACTTCGACAAACACACAACGGCGAAAGCTTAACTATTGAATATTAATTGCGTCACGCTTAGTAGCCAACCAATGGCGAGCGGCACACGCAACAGCTCATGAATATTAAGTGGGATAAATTTGGACTACGGCGCTTTTGCTGTGGAAACTGAAACGAATGCGGTTTAAAAATAATAATAATAATAATAATATATGTATATATATATATTATAATGTTTATTTATATCATATAATCAAACAACAAAAGACCGCAAAGAAATGTAATCATTAAAGAGGTAATTCAATCAAAAGAAAGTGGAATTAAAGGGAGGGTTTACCCAAAAATGAAAATTGTGTCATCATTTACTCACCCTCAAGTTGTTCCCAGCCTGTATGAGTTTCTTTCTTCTGTTGAACACAGTGAAAAGCGTTAAGAAGATATTATGAAGAAGAATGTTGGTAATCAAACGTTAGACGGTAGCCATTGACTTCCATAGTTGAAAAAAAAAAAAATATATATATATATATATATCAATGGCTACCATTATCTTCCTGGTTACCAACATTCTTCAAAATGTCTTCTTTTGTGTGCAATGGAGCAAAGAAACTCATACAGGTTTGGAACAACTTGTGGATGAGTAAATGATGACACAATTTCCATATTTGGGTGAACTATCCATTTAAAACGTCTAAAAAGAAGGGATTATTGCGTGACTGTAATTTGATATTGAAAAGTTCAAACATTGTGAAACAATATATCTTCAGAGCATGGACGTTCTCAGGGGTGGAAGATTTTAACTGTTACCTAGTTACCACTAGAAAATGCAAAGCCAAATGCAAATGAGAACTCTCGATGAAAGCGCTTTGAAGACATGAGAGAGCTCAGCACATTTTTACACTGCAGCCAATTATGGAGAACATTTTCATATTCTCATCACATATCTTAATATATTGCATGAAATACTAAACTCAAAATGAATCTGTGTTCTGTGTATACTGATTGCATTGCCTTAATTATGTATTCTTTATATTTGTTTTGCAAATTTAAAAATGTTTTCATGCATCTGTTATGATTTTTTTTAATGTAAAGCACTTTTGAGTTACAATTGTGTATGAAATAAACCTTTTTCACATCATCACAATGAAGTGATTACGGGGTGAATTTTAAATAATTTCTGTCCCTCATTTAGCAATGACTAACCATCTATAATAAAGACATTTGTTTTTATTTTATACACTAAATATTCTGGCACTTTGTTGGGCTGCTGCTTGATAAATTAGTCCTGAAGCAAATCCAGTTGAGAATCCCAGTATTATTGGGACACATTGGAGGACAAGATGTGAATACTTCTTCCTAGAGTTCATAAGACGAAAAAGAGAAGCTAAAATACAGCATAAATGTGAACTCCTACAGATCAAACATGCGGTCAGGGGCTGAATCGGGGGAAAAAAAACTTTAACAACCATATAAAAAGGAAATCAGTCACAGAGCTTTTATTTAAAAACAAAACATGAACCTATACAAGATTACAGTCCTTTGTAACAGTGGGTTGATGACATCAGCTGTTGGCGGTGGAGCCGGGCTCTGGAGACTGCAGGAACTCATACGGGTCTTGGACCATCTCGGTCTGATCTCCGACACCCAGATGAGGTGAACTCCCTGGTCACGGTCAACAAACAAACTTGAGTTATTATTCAGAAAATGACGATTTCTTTTACCCCACATACCCCGAAAATCCACTCACTGTTTTTCAGATGACTGACAAAATTACCACCAAAAAAGCACTGAAATTAGTCCTTAGATATTTATTGACTTAATTTGTCTGTAACAAGGCTATCTTCAAGGGCGAGAACAAAGTGAATAACAGTATAGTAAAGTCATGCAATTAACATAAAACCTATAATACATACATTCTAAAATACATTCAGTCAATGCATAAAAGTGAACGTATTATGATTTTTCGGATATTATCTTTCATGCAGTGTGTGATATAACTATGAATGTAAAAGGTCTGCAAAGTTTCACAGATCAAAGTGCCTGTCAAATGAAGTTATTGACTCCTAAAATAACGAATCGATTGTGAACTGCCGAAACGAGTCGTCAGTATATCAATCTTCTAACCTGTTAAAAATGATTTTTTTATATATATATTTTCTGCATTTTACCTTCACTTCAGCAATAATTTGCTGAGTGTCTTCTTTAAAAAGAGATCAACCTTAGGTGTGTATTCCAAAGCATTTATAAATTAACTAATTAAGACAAACATGTAGGCTATTTACAATAGAAACTGCAATCCAGTAAAATATAATCATTGGAGTTTCTCAAGGAAGGCGTGATGGACAGCAGCATTTAAAAGAGTAGTTCACTTTAAAAAAAAATTTTTGCAAATAATTTCTTTAGCTGACTTCATTGGGTGCCAAATGGTTCAAGGTCCAAATGAGAGTTTCACTGCAGCTTCAAAGGGCTTTAAACGACACCAGATGATGAATAAGGGTCTTATTACTCTCCTGTTCGAACTCATTCATCAAAATGATTAAATCTTTTTTCGAGTCATTTCAGTAATTTTGTTCATTGAAAAAACCAAATGACTCGAAAAAAGATTTGTTCATTCTGATGATCGAGTTCGAACAGGAGAGTCACGAACGCGCATCACAGAACAGAGCAAGGTGAGCATTTGTGCTTATCCACAAGTTTCCTACGCCCCATGAGGCCTTGCGTCAAAAGTGGGCGCGACTTCCGGTTGGAAGTAAACAAAGCGCGATTTGACATGCTTAACACTCGTTCATTCAACAGTTGACAGTCATTCAAGTTATAGCGATCCAAACTACAGCTGGTGAGCTGATGAAAACTACAGTCGCTGGCAGGATCAGAGACGGGCTCTGGCAGGATCACTCTGATTTCGTTTTCAGCTTATGTTCAAAACAATCCCGTTTAAGCCACTAAATTAGTTTAGTCCGGCTATACATACAACCGCGAACAGCACATGTTGTCCCTGAGCTCCGTAACGACATCTCTCATAAAGATTTGCGTCTTTAAATAGTAAAATAATTCTCTGAAAAACAGCTAGCCTCTTCGCTAACTAACACACAAAATACCATTGGAATGCTACTTCCGCCGCGTCACCGGAAGTTTCACCCACTTTATTTTTTACACGAGCGCCCCTCGGAAACTTGTGGATAAAACTTAAAACTTTTTTATTTATTTCTGAAATGGCCGATCGTTTCACTAGATAAGACCCTTATTCATCGTCTGGTGTTGTTTAAAGCCCTTTGAAGCTGCACTGAAACTCTCATTTCAACCTTAAACCATTTGGTTCCCATTGAAGTCCATTATATGGAGAAAAATTCTGGAATGTTTTCATCAAAAACCTTCATTTCTTTTTGACTGAAGAACATCTTGGATGACATGGGGCTGAGTAAATCATCAGCTAAAGTTTTTCTTAAAAGTGAACTACTCCTTTAATGCCTGTGATGTGTAATATAAATATGACTGAGTACCTAAATGATGCTGATCCCTCTCTGAAGCGTTTGACAGGGAAGAGAGATTTGAGGACGGCCGTGATCCGACTCGGTCCACAGCTGCGTCCTGGAACTCCTGCAAGAGTTTGGCTGTGTCGTCAAAGTGCTGATGACCATCCTCATGATCCGGCTCCTTCTTCACACATTTACCTACAGATCGGACATCAACTGAACATCAATGAACCAAAAACAAACGTCTTTTACAGTCGTGAGGTGTTGATGTGTAATATATGACTCACTTAATGTGTTGAGCATATCTAGAGACATGTCCGGGTAGCTCTTCATGGACATGAAATCAAGCACTGAGCCGGCTTCATCTGTTCCCTATATACACCAATCAGAAAGTCTCATTAAATGGTACTTTAAAAGGTTTGAAACTGTTAGCAATAGCATGTAATATCTATAATTCTTACCGGCATGCCACATAAACTAGACTTAGCGTCATCAATCGGCATGTTTCTTTTCTGAAATACAAAAACAGCATTATAAAATGTTATAATTATTTATAAGCTTACATTATATAATTCAATATATAAATGTGTACACTACCATTTAAAAAGTTTGTGGTCGATGATTTTTAATGTTTTTTAAAAGAAAACAGTAAAATATTATTAAAATTTAAAGTAGCTGCCTTCTTTTTAAATATATTGTAAAATGTAATTTATTCCTGTGATCATTACTCCAGTCTTTAATGTCACATGATCCTTCAGAAATCATTCTAATTTGCTGCTCATTTCTCATTATTATCAATTTTGCTGCTTCATATTTTTGTGAAAATCTCGTGATACATTTTGTTTCAGGATTCTTTGATGAATAGACAGTTCAAAAGAACAGAATTTATTTGAAATAGAAATATTTTGTATCATTATAAATGTTGTTAGTGTCACTTTTAATTAATTTAATGCATCCTTGCTGAATAAAAGTATTAATGTCTAGCGAAAGTTTTCAACAGCAGTGTATATTGTTTGAATTTACAATTCACAAAACACTAAGAAAGATTAAAAATGGTCAAAAGAGTCATTTTTGTTGATTTTCACTACCTGTCGGACTTGAATGACAGCCTTCGAGTGATCACCAGCCGTCATTTTATCCAGTAAATCATCCACAAGCCTTTTGGTAAAACTCCCACAACCCTTAACAAACTCCTGCAGACTAAATCACACACAGACACACAAAAATCCCATCAATCAAGTGAGTCAAATAAACAACAACAGATTTTTATGAGCCGAAGGTTTGGACCAAACACCTGAGAGCGCACTGGACTCCGGTCTCGTCTCCATAAGCGGAGTAAAGCATCTCCATCTCCTCTGGAAGCAGGTCAGGATAGACAGAGTTGTTCTGAAGGGTCTGAGTGTTGTACGCACTGCTCAAAAACGTCACTGAAACAAAACAACAGGCCAAAATTGCAATGACAGACACATGCATAATATGATGTGAATCATAAATGTAAAGATTCTGGTTGTGATTCTGTGGTCAGTTGCATAAGCTAGTCGTCTAACTTTTTTCTTTAGGACTGGTCATAACTTTATGTCAGTAAC